GCTGGGGGCGCCTGGGGCGCTGCTTGCCCCCCTTCCCTGATGGCCTCCTGTGCTTCCCTTCCAGGATCTCTCGTCTGGCAGGAGATGTTTGGCTGTGAGCTGAGCAGAGACGGGCACACACAATATCATTGGCACTATGCTTGTGACGGGGAGGAGAATCTCACCTTCAACTTGGAGGACCTCACCTGGGCAGCATATGGGAGCGCGGCCGAAATCACCAAGATGTTGTGGGAGGCCAAGCCCTCCATTGCTGAAGAGATCAAGCGCTTCCTGGTGAAGACCTGCATTGAGCAGCTGAAGAGATACGGGAGCTACGCGAATGTGACAGGTGCGGGGAATGGGGGTGTCCTTGGGGGGGCCCTGGAAATGTATCTGCGCTCCCCCTTTCTCCGCCTCGATTGCAGCACTAAGCATCACCCTCCCCTTGGGCTGGCTGCTGCCCACCCTACAGGCGAGCGGAGGGGGAGGACCAGGTCTGCTTGCCCCCTGTAGCCGCTCGAAAGCAGGCAAATGCCAGTGGAGAACTCGGTACTCCTCTGGTGGAAGGGAGCAGCGCCCCGCGTGCCTCGGCCTCTGGTCTCTGTGGCCACCTGCCCCGGAAACTGTCTGCAGGCGAGCGCTGGCCCCTCGGCTGGGAAAGGGAGACGAGGACGGTCCCCTGGGGTCATGGGAATACCTTTGCCTTTTGAGCAATTTCAAAATGTGGAAAACCGGCGGGGAGCCTTGTGTCCGCTCTTGTGGTTGCTGACCGTGTGCGGCAGAGGTGGGCGCAGCTGGATGGTCGGATGACGCCCCACCTGCCTTGGGGCCCCTGTGCTCCCTCCTGGCAGCCCGGAATGGCTGACATGGAGTGTCCCTTTTCACAGAGCCCCCCGTGGTGACCGTTTCGCGGAAGGTTAATGAAAGCGTGGAAACCCTCGTCTGCCGCGTCCACGGCTTCTACCCAAGGGAGATTAACGCCACCTGGAGAATGAACGGGATGGTCCAGGAGCACCACACCTTCGCTCAGGTCGCTCCCAATGCAGACGGGACCTTCTACCACCGGCTCTCCATCGACATTGACCCGCAGAAGCGGGACCAGTACCGGTGCCACGTGAACCACATGGGCCTCCCCGAGACCCTGGCCTGGGAGGAGCCTACAGGTGAGAGATGGCGGGATCGGAGCTTGGCCCCCGGTGAGTTTCTGGGAGTTGGGTCCTTCCCTCAGGGAAGATGGGGGCGTCCGGAAGACAGGACCCCTTGGGCCACGTGGTCCGTCGGATCCTGTGTGTGGCTGGGCAGAGAGCAGGAGAGTCCTGTGTCCGGAGGGGGAGGACTCGGTTTCTGGTGCGGGGGCCAATTTCAGGGGCAGCTGTGCGGGGCTGTGGCGGGGGGGTCCTCTGAGGCTCTGGCCGGATGGAAGGGGCCTGCTGACCGTGCGAGACCCCCGAGACAGTGCCACTCAGAGGGACCCTTTGCCAGGCCTGGAGGACTGCCGCCAGTCCGGGCTGACATGTGTTTGTTCCCTTTCAGCCACCAATACATGGATTGTCGTGGTCGTATCCATCATCTTCATCTTCATCATCATCATCGCTGTAAGTATGCTGTGGATGCTCTAACAACAGTCCTCGAACAACAGCCCTGCGAGGTGGGGTTGGCTGCTTGCCACTGACTGGCCCCCAGGCACGGAGCGAGACCCACGGACAAGTGGGACCGCATCCTGCATCTCCCCCGCCCCAGGGCTGCAGGGGAGGGGCCCTCAGGGCCAGAGCATCCCTGCTTCTCCGTGAGTGGGTGTATATGGCAGGGAAGCGGGTTTGGGGATGCCGGGAAAGGGCCCAGCCGGCACAGGGCTTCCCCCTCCCCGTGGCCCAGACCTCGGGCTCCCCTGAACTAGCAGCCTCTGGGATGGGCACCCCGGGTGCTCAGCCCTCCGCAGCCTCATCGGGATGTCCTACTGCCAGTCCAAAGGACCACGCTTGCCCGGGGCCTGCACGGGGGTCCTATCCGGGGGACAGGGTGGGATTCCCCCCTCCACCTCGGTGGCCTCGCATGGGGCATGCAGCTTGGCTCACTTGCGTGGG